CATCCTTTTGTTGAAACATCTCAATGGGTATTCTGTCAATTCCTGGAGGCTTGTTTTTCACCAATTCCTTCAATGCAGCTTGTAGTCTTCCTTTAGTACCATTTGTTCTTGATCATATGCTACCTCATGAAATAGCTGAACGTCGACAAGAGGATTAGCTGGTTCTTTTCCCTTTCTGTGACTTGTTGTTGTTAGTTGCCATCGAGTCATCTCTGACTCATAGCGACCCCATGTACAATAGAAAGAAACACTGCCTGGTCCTGTGCCATCCTCATGATCCTTGCTGTACCTGAGCCCATCATTGCAGCCACTGTGTCAATCCATCTTGTTGAGGGCCTTCCTCTTGTTCGTTGATCCTCCACTTTACCAAGCATGATATCCTTCTCCAGGAAATGGTTCCTTCTGACAACATGACCAAAGGAGGTGAGATGAAGTTTGGCCATTCTTGCTTCCAAAGAGTGTTCCAGCTGCACTTCTTCCAAGACAGATCTGTTAGTTCTTCTAGCCGTCCATGGTACTCTCAGAAGTCTTTGCCAACACCACAACTCAAAAGCATCAACTGTTCTTTGGTCTTCCTTATTCATTGTCCAGCTCTCACTTGCATGAAAGGCAATTGAAAATACCATGGCTTGGGTTAGGCACACCTTAGTCTTCAAGGAGACATTTTTGCACTTCAGCACTTGAAAGAGGTCTTTTCCAGCAGATTTGCCCAAGGCAATAAATACATCGTCTGATATCTTGACTGCAGCTTCCATTGGTGTTGATTGTAGAACCAAGTAATAGGAAGTCTTTGACAACTTCAATCTTTTCTCCATCTATTGTGATGCTGTTTATTGGTCCAGTTGTGAGGACTTTTGTCTTCTTTATATTGAGGTGTAATCCATACTGCAGACTGTAGTCTTCAGTCTTTGTCAGTAAATGCTTCAAGTCATCCTCACTTTCAGCAAGCAAAGTTGTGTGGTTGCATATAACAGGTTGTTAATGAGTCTTCCTCCAATCCTGATGCCACGTTCTTCTTCAAATAGTCCAGCCTCTCGGATTATTTGCTCAGCATATAAATTGAATAAGTTCAGTGAAAGGATACAAGCCTGATGCACTCTTGTCCTCATTTCAAACCACGCAGTGTCCCCTTGTTCTATTTGAATGACAGCTTCCTGGTCTATGTACAGGTTCCTCATGAATACAATTAAGTGTTCTGGAATTCCTATTCTCAATGTTATCCAAAATTGGTTATGATCCACACAATCAAATGCTTTTGCATAGTCAATAAAACATAAGTAAATATCTTTCTTGTATTCTTTGCTTTCAGCCAAGATCTACCTGACGTAAGCAATGATATCCCTTGTTCCACGTCCTCTTCTGAATCCAGCCTCTGTGACTTGGCCAAGAAATAATTGCCCATGGCTTTTTCAAATGGAAGTCCTCGTCTGCGTGGTAGAGAATCCCAGAGAAGTCTGGCTAAGTGAGCAGTGCTGGGAGAAGTTCAGAAACTGCAAGGACAACTGCATGAAGGCGGCAGCACTGAGCTGGGAGCATGTAGTAAGGGGGGTCCTCTCTTCCCCACTCTCTTCTCAACTTTTTCTGTTAGTAATTCAGCCTGGTGAGGGGCTGGCCTGGGATCCTCGCACGGCGGGGCTCCTCAAGTGCAGCTGGCTGCCTCCTTCCCCGCCCAGGGTGGCTCTCCCGGGCTCCCCTATTTGGCCGGTTTGGCCCGGGCTCTGGGCGGGGCCGGAGAGCGCAGGGGTGGGAGTCAGGGAGAAAGATGCGGTCTGGGCGTGCGGACGGCAGAGGGGTGGGGACCTGGGGTGGGCTGCGCCCTCCTCTCCGACCCATTCCACACCCCTCGGAACGCAGACTCTGTCAGTCCAATCACTCTCCTTTCAGGAACTGCGAGGGGGACAAAGGTACCTAGCCCCTTTCTGCTCAGAAAAGCGAAGGGAGGTGGTGGGCCGCTTTGCAGCCGCTCGCTCCCCTTTCCTGGACCATGCACCCCAGCGTCTGGCGGCTCGGCCCCAGACAAGGACTCGATTTCTTGAGCTGAGGGCTCAAACGTCTGTATTTTTCTTCTCCCCGACAACTGAATCATGCCATGTGCCCAGAGAAGCTGGCTTGCAAACCTTTCCTTTCTGGCCCACCTCCTTAACTTTGGGACGCTCTGCTATGGGCAACGGCCTCAGCCAGGCACCGTTCGCTTCCTCGACAGGAGGCAAGGTTAGTGACTTCGCTTTATTTCCTTTTAAAACAGTGGAATGAAGAGATGTGGAGACTTGGTGCCGCCTCTTACCCTTCCCCCACCGGGCTGAACTCGGATTCTGCAAAGCTGTCTCCGACTTGTAAGGGAATCTGGGATGCTAGCTCAGGAGCAGAGAGTTTCCAGAATTCACAGTATTTAAAGTGATTTGTTAATTCTTACTGGAAGGGGAACACCCGGATCTCCTTTCCTTTGATGACACTGTGACCTTTGGAAGACCCCAGAGGAGGCTGGTAACCTCCTCTCTCTCTCAGCTCCTCTTTCTTTGTCTCCTCTTTGAATGGTGCACTGTTTCAACCCACCACTTTTCAAATTTTGAACATGAAAAATGAATTATTATCATTTTTTAAAGTTTTAACTGACCACTCACAGCCATGCAATGTTTCCAGTTAGTTTTAAGCTTCTGACCAGGGAAGCCGAAATGTAATTTCAGGCCCCTGTGGAGCTAGTTTGGCTGTGTTTTGGTTTCCTGGAAAGATTTAGGGTTGTGTTTTTTAAAAATAACAATCCCTTTGGGGAAAATTTATGTCGGTAGGGGCTCACCTTTCTCTGCCCTGCCTTCCTGATCACAACAGGCTGCTTCCTTTTCTGAAATGCGTGAATCCTCAGTGTTTAGAGAACATTGGAAGGGCTGCAAGGGACAATTCATTGTTGTTGCTATTTTTATGTTTTTAAGCATAATACCCTGAGCAGGCGATACTGTTGTCTTTGCCTTTTGTCAGACTTGGAAAAGCCAGAGAAATTCTTGTTGGGAAGTTCCTGTGCCTCTGGGGACAAACAGTCATAGCGGCCAGTGGCCGTCATGGTCACTTGTATTGAGCTTGTACTGTGTGCTATGCTTGTTTAAGACACTGTGTTTCAGCTCATCTGACCACTGACAACAACATTAGGAGGTGCAGGCACTCTTCACCTGTGTGGAAACTGACGCTTGGAGAGTTTATGGGTCAAGGTAATGAGGAGCAAGGTTTTGAACCCACATTGTCTGACCCCAGAGGCTGAACTCTTAGAACCAAGCAGCACTATCGCTAAGTAATAATAGAGTAAAAGCTGTGGAATTGACCTAGACTCGTGGCACCCCCATGCACGTCAGAGTTGAACTGGGCTCCTCGAACTGTGGTCCCCAGGGTTTTTGGTGGCTGGGTGTTTAGCAGTAGATCACTGTGCCTTTCTTTCTAGCCTGTCTCCGTCTGGAAGCTCCCCTGAAGCCTGGTCAGCATCATCCCAGGACCAGTTGTCCTGACACATGGTGACCTCATGTGTGTCACAGTACAGCTGTGCTTCACAGGGCTTTCAATGGCAGGATTTCTCTTTTTCTAACTTTTATTGTGGTGAAAACGTACATAAGACATTTGCCAACAAAAGAACTTCCCCATTTACAGCTCAGGGACATTGATGACATTTTTCATGTTGTCCCACCATTATTGCTATACTTTTCCAAATTATTCCATCACTATTAGCATACTTTCAATGCCTGACAAACGAAAACTTCCTTTTTCCCCTTCCTCCTATCCCTGGTAACCACTAATAATCTTTCTTTTTTTTTTCTCTCTCTCTCTCTGTATATATATTTATATACTTTTTTTTTTTTCAGCCTATCTAGGAATTTGGCTTCCCTTCATCTCCCATCCCTGGTAACCAACAAAGAAAGTTTCCTTCTATGTATAAACCTTTCCTTGACTTTTTATAACATCAGACTAATATAATATTTGTCCTTCTGTGACTGACTTATTTCACCCAGCATAATGTCCTCCAAGGTCAGCCACGTTATGTGGTGTTTTACAGATTCTACATTATTCTTTAGGGCTGCATAGTATTCCATTGTGCAGATGTACCACAGATTTTTTATCCATTCCTTGGTTGATGGACACTTAGGTTGTTTCCATCTCTTTGCTATTGTGAATAGTGGTGTGATGAACATGAGTGTGCACGTATCTGTTCATGTCCTGCCTCTCACTTCTTTAGGACATAGACCTAGTAATGGGATTGCTGGATCAAATGGTATTTCTATTTCCAACTTTTTAAGGAATTATCAATGGCTGATTTTTTTGAAAGTTGATTGCCAGGCCTTTCTTCCAGGTTGCCTCTGGATGGATTCAAACCGCCAACCTTTTGGTTAGTGGGTGAGTGGGTTAACTGCTTGCACCACTCAGGGACTCCTCACAATAGGTTAATATACATATGACACACACACGCAAGCACTGGGTTAGCATTCACTAAGTCTTGTGTTTGCTGATTGTATAAGTCTTGGGAAGTATCTTTCATAGCTTTGTAATGTCTTTTTGATTCCCAAGATCACTCAGGTGACAAACTTCATTTAGAATTTCTAAGCGGGTTTTTCTGCCCACCTTACAAAGTTCAAATACTACTGGAGAGCTCATTCACTGAGGCTTCAAGAGCTCCAAGAAGCAGTTTCTCCCTTTGCTTTACTTGAAAGCTGAAGCCAGCAAACTGGGGTTAGATGTCAATCAGCCAGCACTCGCTTGTGTAAACGTTGGAGAGATACAATCTCCTACCCCCCAAGTTTAAAATAGCAGCATTTGTTGTTGTTCTCCTTTGAAAAGCAGTCTCTTTGTGAAAAGTCTCTCTTCTCTTCTAAGGCAGCACAAACAAAGCCTGCTAGCACTTCCCAGGGCATTTGGAGATGATTTGGTTCAAAGACACACATTCTCCTGGGCTGGTTTTCAGCTCTGCCTGCTCCACAGGTTCTTTGTAAGTGAATTCAGCTCTGTGTGGGACAGACTTGCTTTTTCACTATGGAAAGTGGGACGTTGTTATTTTCCTTAGTCACCATTAGGGTTACTTATTGAAAACTAGCTCTAAGCTTATTAGAGATGCATAAATATTTAGATTTATAAAAGAGAATGTTCTGAGCACACTTCGTTTAGTAGTACGAAGGAGAGGAACAGGGACATGGTGGTTCATTGGTAGAATTCTTCTCTGTGAAAGACCCAGGTTCATTTTCTGGCCATGCACCTCACGTCCAGCCACCACCTGTTTGTCAGTGGTGTTTTGTGGCATGAGCAGATTTCAGCAGAGCTTCCAGAAACCAAACTCACTGCCATCGAGCTGATTCTCACTCGTAGCGACCCTCTTTGGGTTTCTGAGGTGGTGAGTCTTTATGGTTGGAAGCAAGAATGGCCAGACTTCGTCTCACCTACTTTGGTCATGCTGTTAGAAGGAACCATTCTCTGGAGAAGTATGTCATGCTTGGTAAAGTGAAGGGTCAATGAAAAAGGGGAAGGCCCTCAACAAGATGGATTGACTCAGTGACTGCAACGATGCCTCAGGTGTAGCAAGGATTGTGAGGCTGGCACAGGACTGGGCAGTGTGTCATTCTGCTGTACATAAGGTCGCTATGAGTTGGAGACAACTCGATGGCACATAACAACAACAACAAATCTTTATGGAAGTAGATTGCCCAGTTTTCCTCCCATGGAGTGGCTGGTGGGTTTGAACTGTCAGCCTCTGGTTAGCAGTCAAATGCCTTAGGCACTGCTCTACCAGAGCTCACACAAAACTCTTTTTGCCCCTTTTTTGTATGTACCTAAGGGGAGGCTTAAAGACCAGTGGGAAGCTATTGGAGAAAGCGTATGTTCAGGAGAGAGTTAGAGTGCTGGAGAGTTTCCCTCTACTGTCCATGGCATTCTTTCCTCCAACTCAAGACAAATGCAGAAGTCTCCAGAGACCTCAGAGAATATGATGTGAGTTTGGGAATCATGGAGACTGGTGTCTTAGTTTTAAAATGCCCATGGACCTCTGGCTGGAATGCCTTCTGGTAACAGAGCCAAGAATATGACTCTACCAAGAATGACCTGCTCCCCCTGAGTTTGGTGGGGCAGACATGGTGGTTATTTCCTGTGGGCTAGCATTGGACCCCATGTGAGAAGGCAGACTTGGATCATCTTCAAAGGGACCTTGCCAAAGAGGACACCCTGCAGGGATGAAGTGGCTTCAATAAAAAGATGAATGGTGAAAAGGCTGAGAGTGGAATTGAAAGTGGCTAGTCAGAGGAGCGATTGCACATATCGAGGGACCTGGGGTGGGATATTCTGAGACAAAAGTCTCCTCGAAACCCTCATGAGCTCCTCTTGAGGGAATGAATCTGTATCACAAAGTGCACCATGGTCAGATGACTACTCTACCCAGTTGAGTAGGATGATTTCTGCCTCTAATTTCCTTCCACTGCTGCAACCCTGGAGGACCCAGAGGTATCACTGCATGTAGGAGAAGAGAAGGGCAACAGAAGAGAAATTCTACCAAAGCTGACCTGCCCTGGCCAGTTCTCTCTTCAGGTATGAACTTGGAAGGGCAGTGACACTCCAAGTCTAGATAGATCCAGACATTTTTGAGATGTGGGTGGCACGAGGATTGAGTCAATGATACTCTTTAGTTCATGGTACACTGGCATTGTGCATTTGTGAAAAACCCTTTTTTACTTATTATGCATTCTTTTTTTTTGATTACTCCCTAGAAAATGATTTTAATAAGTTCCATATATATATATTTGTTCTCATGTGTTCTGGAAAACTGTGAATTATTGTTTTTGGGTTCATGTATTTTCCATTAATGAAATGATTATGCATTTACTTGTTTTATTTCTTTTTTTTTATTGAGCATTGTATTCTTCTTTGTTTTAAAATTTTGTTGTGATCTGGGTGAAAGTTTACAGAGCAAATTCATCTTCCATACAGCAGTTCACATACACTTTGTCTCATGACATTGGCTGTAATCTCCCACAATGCATCAGCTCCCCTCCCACTTTCTCTCCATAGTTACCTCTTCCCTGTGTCCTTCTGTCCCATATACTCCTGCCCTGGGCTGTCTCCCTATATATACACAGCCCTTACATTCTCCCATGATTGATCTCTCCAAGAAGTGTATCTACCTAATGTAAATGTTTAGCTTATATGCCTGTCTTTTGTTTGCTTGGAAGCCACAGGAGTGGGTTCAATTCCACACCTGAAGGGCAGCTAGGGGTTGTAATCTCAGGGATTCACCAGGCTCTATCAGACCAGCAAACCTGGTCCCTTTTTTTTTTTTTTTTTTCCTGTGATTTTGAGTTTTGTTCCACATTGTTCTCCTACTCTATCCAGGATCTCCTACATAGATCCCCCTCTGAGTGACTGACAGTAGTAGCCAGGTACCATCTAGTTCTTCTGGTCTCATGGTCATATAGGCTGAGGATTACATGGTGTACCAGCCCCTTGGACTAAATTTTTCTGCACATCTTTGGTTTTCTTCATTGCTTATTGAGCATTGTTTTTAAGATTTCTTCATGTTATGTGGTCTGTTGTCTCTAACTGCTGGAGTTAGAAGCAAGGGTTCTGGACATTTTGACACCCAAGACTATTTGTTAGTTAAGAGTGAAAACTCTCTGATCTTCCCAGTATTTTACCCAAGGCAAAGAAGGACAATTTCACACAGTATGTCTGAAACAAAACTAATCAAAACAAAACTTTTATATAATTGTAGCCTATCAAGTCCAATTCTTCCAATTAACCAACTAGAAACATGTTCAGTGATTCATTGTGTTTTTGTTAGCTGCCTTCCAGTTGGCTCTTGGCTTATGCCTACCAGATATACAACACAAGAAAATGCTACCCGGTCCTGCGCCGTCCCTATGATGGGTTGTGGATTGGACTGTTGTGAGCTAAAGGGTTTTCGGTGCCTAATTTTTGAAGTAGATCTGTAGGCTTTTGCACAAAGGGCATGGAGGCCACATCCTCTGACCTCCTCTAATTTCACGAGGGGGTGAGAGAATTACTATCAATAGCAACAGGCCAATGCTGATTGCTGTGAGGCAAAAATCAGACATGTTGCCACTCTCCAACCTTTTTACCATCTCTCACACCAACTGTCCGTCCCATGGCTCTCACTACTTCTCTTCTGGGTTTGATAATTCATTGCAGAGGCCACACAGAAATCACAGATAATACTCAATATTACGGAGTTTATTGGGGAAGTAACAGGTCATGATTCAGTTTCAAGAACACTCAGGATACAGTTATTTCAATCAGCATACCCTCAGCCGTGCCTATAGACATGCCTCTTTGACCCTTGGCCTCTTGGCTTAGCCTCTGCCCTGCTCTGGTAAGTTTTACAAAATTTGTTTAGCTCTGCTAATAGGTGCATGTATAGGTGCACCCCACTCCACCAGCAAGCCTCCTGCCCTAAAGCACTCAGCTTTCTCCGTCCTTGGGCCACCAAGCCTGCTGCTCTGTATGGTAGCTGTGTCTTGGTTCTGCTGTCTCTGCTGCCATCTATCTGCCATTGTCTCAGTGCCGGGATCTCTGGTCTAAGGATGCACTCCAGTCTTGGCTCTTCTCTGTCTCAATGGTAATGAAATCCACCTTTTCCACCTCTGGGATGGATCATTTTAAGCCTAGTGAGATGGCAAAACTCTGACGAGTCCTCACTTTAAGGTTCTGTACATCTTATTTGTACAGTCCACCCCCCACAAGAGGGCCATGTTCCCTATTTATATTATTGGCAAGCTATCCCTAAGTGTAGGGAGCTCTGGTAGCGTAGTGCCTAAGGCATTTGACTGCTAACCAGAAGGCTGGTGGTTCAAACCTACCAGCCACTCCTTAGAAAGAAGTTTGGCAATCTATTTCCGTAGTGATACCACCTCGGAAACACAAGGAAGGGCCTCTATGAATCAGGTTCGACTCAATGGCAGTGTGTTTGTTCATTTGTTATCCAGTCACTTGGTGGACCCCAGTCACTTCACACCTTGTATTTGCGCAGTTCCATCCAGTCATCTGGTGGGAGTCACAATGACCATGGCTAGAAGAGCCATACCAAGTAATTCACTGCACCATAGCCTTTTTTCCTAGTCCATATTAGTCTGGTGTGGAGTCTAAAGGCAGTTGACTGCTAACCAGAAGGTAGGAAGTTCAAGCCTACCAGCCACTCCTTGGAAGGAAGATTGGGCAATCTACTTCTGTAGAGATACTGCCTCGGAAATTCAAAGAGGGGTCGCTGTGAGTTGGGACTGACTCAACAGCAGTGAGTTTGATTTGGTTTATATTAGTTTAGAACCTCTGCTGATCAGCAATGAAACGCAAGCCTCCACTGACAGATGGGTGGTGGCTACACATGCAGTGCATTAGCTGGGAATCACACCCAGGCTTCCAGCATGCAAAGTGAGAATTCTGCCACCATTGCCCTCTCGCTGATTCATGAACACATTAAATTGAGCACCTGTGATATACAAGATTCTAGCCTCCAAAGGAGTTGGAGAGGAAAAGTGAAATGAACAAAAGGCAACGTAAATCAGGGCATTCTGACAGATGTGAAATAAGGGCCCTGAAGGTTTCTGAGGAGGGAGAGGGAACTTGAACCAGAAACATCAGTGGTTTGAAGAGAGAGGATTTGAGTTAGGAGTTAAAAGTGGACACATGCAGTCCCCAGATCATGAATGAAATCAGTTCCTAACTAGATCTTAAAGAATTTGTAGGTAACTCAGAACAAGTGCATACTGTTCTTATTTACAGTCTTCAGTATGGATTACACCTCAACATAAAGGAAACAAAAGTCCTTACACCTGGATCAATAAGCAACATTGTGATAAATGGAGAAAAGACTGAAGTTGTCAAAGATTTCATTTTACTTGGCTCTACAATCAACGCCCATGGAAGCAGCAGTCAGGAAATAGATGACATATTATACCAGGCCATTGTGCTGCAAAAGACCTCTAAAAATGTTGAAGAACAAAGATGTCACTTTGAAGACTAAGGAGGACTAACCCAAGGAATGGTATTTTCATTTGCCTCATATGCATGTGATAGCACATAACAACAACAACAACAACAACATATGCATGTGAAAGCTGGAAAATGACTAAAGAAGACCGAAGAAGAATTGATTTCTTTGAATTATGGTGTTAGTGAAGAATACTGAGAATACCATGGACTACCAGAAGAATGAACAGGTCTGTCCTGGAGGAAGTGCAGGCAGAAAGCACCTTGGAGGTGAGAATTGTCTCACCTACTTTGGTTGGTCATATGGTCAGAAGGGACCAGTCCCTGCAGAGGGATATCATGCTGGGTAAAGAAGAGGGTCAGGGAAAAAAGGGAAGACCTTCGATGAGGTGGATTGACACAGTGGCTGTGACAATGGGTTCAAGTATAGCAAGGATTGTGAGGATGGTGCAGGACAGAGCAGTGATTTGTTGTGTTGTACACAGGGTCAGTATGAGTCAGGGTCAACTCAGTGGCATCTAACAACAACAATTAGAGCATGAAAAGACTCAACGCCTTTTCAGTTATGTAAAAGCTGCACATGCAGCAAATAAAAGGTGATTGTGATGAAGAAGTTGTTGTGAGTTGGTTCAACTGTTTCAAAGTCAGGGCAAATTTACATAACATTAAAGGGCACGTAGGAATTGTGTTTAAGTTGGAAGTTGTTAATCTGCGGATTGTCTGTACAGGATTCTGATAGCCAGAGAAGGCAAGAGAGGTTCTAGTTAGGGAAGTTACAGGAACAAAATAATATAAGCAAGAAAGTGCAAGGGATATAGCTAGGAGGTGGCAAGTAGACCTCCCTCCCCACCCCCGAAATAAAAGCGCTTACTTACTAGTTGCAATCAATTTGATTCTGAAGCACGCCAACCCATGTGTGTCAGAATAGAACTGCTTTAGAGGGTTTTCAGTGCTGTGACCTCCTTTTGGAAGCAAACTTGCCAGCCTTTTCTTCTGAGGTACCTCTGGGTGGGTTTGAACCCCCAACCTTTACAGTTATTGATTTAATAGTTGAATGTGTAACCATATGTACCACCCAGGTATTCTTTAGTTTACCTTACTAAGTGGTTGGTGGTTTACTGTAAATAGTCTGTAATCCAGACCAGTTAGATGCCTTGTTACTCTCAAACATCAAAATTGTGGGGACAGTGGTGAGCTTTAAATTTGGGGTAAGTCAAAGGTGTATGTGCTTTTGCTATAGAAGGAGCAAGTGTTGCTGTATTGCATTTTTAAAGTGCTAAGTTTCATGTTTTAAACCTATGCTTCAAATCATCCTAATATGTTTACTTACCATTTTATTTTGTAGGAAAAAACAAGTTCTTTTAAGCAATTTTGCTACATTATGGGGCATTTACTATGTAATTGGTATGAGGTTTGTTGGAGTGTATATGATTGGGTTTGCTGTTTTTTTGTGTTTTCATCTAACCTGACTTAATGGGAAGATCCTGAGGCATTTAAGATCCTTATAATAAATTGCCACTCCTTGGAAGGAAGATGGGGCAATCTACTTCTGTAGTGATACTGCTTCAGAAACCCAAGGAGGGGTCGCTATGAGTCGGGTCCAACTCGACGGCATATAACAACAACAACAACAACATAATAAATTGTGAAATTCTGATTTATGTTGATGAAACCTGGATTTGAAGTGTTTCTGTTTATAATGTTGACCCTTGACCCTTTCCTGATAATATTCCTCATGAACGAATTCTTGTCTTAAGGTGTCTCGGGTAAAATCCCTGCTATCCAGAGCTATGCCAGTGTTGGCTCAGACTCCCACAACACCTTAAGGGAGCAGCATGTGAATGTGAGTTGTTCGGGGAGTTGAATGTTGACCATATTTGTATGGTGGAAGGACTTTTATACTTTCAAAGCCAATGGTAGGGTTTTGCCATCAACAAGCTAGAATCTCAATTCTAGATGTGTGTGTGTTTGCCTTGCTACAGATTCCACTGGGCTCCCTCTCAGTATTACACTGTGTCTCCTTCTCTTTCAGAACATTTTATCCAGGCCCTGCCCGAGTACCATGTGGTGGGTCCTGTCCGAGTGGATGCGAGTGGGCATTTCATATCCTATGGCTTGCACCGTGCCATCACCAGCAACAGGCAGAAGAGAGATTTGGATGGCCCAGATGACCATGTGTACTATAGGATTATGCACGAGGAGAAGGACTTGTTTTTTAACTTGACTGTCCATCGGGGATTTCTTTCCAATGGCTACATTGTGGAGAGGCGGTATGGGAACCTCTCTAATGTTAAGATGGCAGCTTCCTCTGGGCCACTCTGCCATCTCAGGGGCACAGTTCTGCATCAGGGTACCAGAATTGGGACTGCAGCCCTCAGTGCCTGCCATGGACTGGTGAGTGAGTGGGTTGTGAATGAGTGGGTTGGCCATCTTTCTCCTCTGTCCTCAGGTGTCTGGTGACTTGGCCTGGGCACCAGCTACAAATGGGTTCACTGACACATTCAACACATGTGCATTGACCGACTCGGATGTACAAGATACTGACTTCCAAGGGGTCTGGGGAGAATGCACATAATAAATAAGAGGTCATCTGGGGGGTATAGGAAATAAAGGCACTGTAGCCCCTGAGTTCAGTTCTTGCAGTCAACCAGCTACAGTTGTGTTCATTGATACATAAACACATTGAGTTGAGCACCTGTGATTTGCAAGATTCTGGCCTCCAACGGGTTGGGGAGAAAGATTGGATGAACAAAAGGCAGTGTACAATCAGGGCATTCTGGGAGGTACAGGAAATAAGGGCACTGAGAGTTCCAGGGAGAAAGAGAGAACATCAATCAAGATCCTCAGTGGAATGAAGAGGAGGGAGGATTTGAGTTGGAGCTTCAGCCTCGGAGATAGCTCTGGGGTGCTGTTGACTGACCGACTGACTGGCCAGCACCTTTTAAATTAGGAAGACCTGCATTTGAATTGTTTTTGAGTCTTAGTGATAATGATGATAGCAGCAGCTACTACATACAGTATAATAATTAGTTACGTGTTTTTGTTATCAGACTTCATGTGGGCTCTTGGGCTTTATGTTTTAGTTTCCTCATCTACAAAATGAAGAAAATTATAATATCTATTTCATAGAGCAGCACTCGGCACTCCAAGGTCTATAGGTCAAATGTAGCCCTTTTTCTGTTTATGTAAATAAAGTTTTATTAGAATAGCCAAGCCCATCTGCTTACATATTGCCTGTGGCTGCTTTCAAGTTATAACAACAGAACTGAGTAGTTGAGACAGATGCTGGATGGCCTGCAAAAGCCTAAAACATTTACTGTCTAGCCTTTAAAGAAATAGTTTGCCAACTCCTGTCATAGAATAGTGTGATGACTAAATGAATGAATGTAAAGAAAATCTTAGACGATTGTTTAGTAAACAGTGTTGTTGTTATTGATATGTGCCATCGAGTCGGATCCAGTCAGATCCGACTCATAGCGACCCCTCCTTGGGTTTCCGAGGTGGTATCACTACAGAAGTAGATTGCCCAACCTTCCTTCTGAGGAGTGGCTGGTGGGTTTGAACCGCCAGCCTTCTGGTTAGCAGTCAAGTGCCTTAGGCACTGTGCTACCAGAGTAGACCTCAGTAAATGTTGGGTGCAATTATTATTTTTATGTTTCTAATGTGCCAGGCACTGGTGTATGTGGTTTAGATACCTTGTCCCCTTCCCCCTCTTTTTCTTAAACGAATAAGTAAACAACTGAATTGGAGCCCGAGTCTCTCTACTATGGTATGTGTGCTACATCTCAAAATTGGACAAAGCTTATTTTTCCAAAATCTAAACCTGTATTTTAAAAAAGAGTTTTGTCCTTTGTTCTTGCATCCTTCTGGTGGCAGAAACACTGGCCACAGCAGTGGCGAAAATGATGCGTGGGAATCCTGTGGAGGTTTTCTGAGGTTTGCCTTCCCATGCCTGAGCAGGAGGCAGGCACCAGCAGTGACAGTGGGTGCTTCAGGAGTGACTGCCACGGGAGAGATTCCAGTGTCCTGGGGATGGTTACAGTGGAGCCCGAGGTGTTGGCGTTGGCACCTGTGCCGAGCAAAACTGCTGGTGGTGATGACATTCCTCCAAAGGGCTGTCAGAGCATTTGTCCTAAATCCTCTCATCAATGCTGCCAGTTTATTGAGAATTTCTGTTCTTTTTAATTTAGGTCTCCATCTATCCTGTATCTGTAGAGTTTGGCTTTGAAGAAATAGTGTAGGAAAATTCATCTAAAAGTTTATACAGCATTTGAAATGTACCAGAAAGTTCCATTTTCTGAAGGACCCTGTGGATGAGTTGCTTTGTATAAGTGGAAAATCTTGCTTTGCCTTTTTGTATAAATCTGCTTTTTCATATGAGATGGTAAACTACTTAAAATAAAAATGAGGCCTTACTCCTCTGCTTGCTTCTTCTTTCCAAGCATGCTCAAAGGAATGGGAGAAAATCCAGTTCTGGGATTGATGGCTGTGGGTTAACATTGTAGTTTCCCTTTTGGATTCTGGCTGTCATGTCTATGAGACAAGCCCTGGAAATTTCTATGCCACCTAGTCCTTTCCAACCAGGGGAGAAGAAAGAGTCCCTGCTCGTGAAGAAAGCCATCTATGAGACACACAGACAAAGACCACACTGATCTGGGGACCACTGATGTAGGGACCCACATCTGTTCATTAACTATGCAAATCCTCATCCTCTTCTAATCCTAGGAAGTTTAAACATCTGTGCCTTTCAGTGGGTTTCAACAGAGCTACGCAAAGTGTGGTCTGCAGACCTGCAACGTCCATATCACCTGGGAGCCTGGTAGAGAGGCAAATTCATGGGCTATGAACCTAGTGTATCAGAGTCTGTGAGGGTGAGAGGTGGGCAGAAACCTATGTTTTAATAAGGTCTCCAAAAGATTCTGATGTCCACGAGAGTTTGAGAAGCACTGGATGGGCTAAGGCAGTTGGTCATAACCTTGGCTGAGCGTTCAGATGCCCTGGGGACCTTCTAAGAAGTATCCATGCTCTGGCTTCATCCCCTAGATGTTCTGATTTAATTGTGCTGAAGGTGGAGACAGGACATCAGTAGTTTTGAAAAGCTCCCCAGGAGATTCTAATGTGCAATCAGGGTTTGAGGGGGTGGGTATTAATTGGCTGTATTACTCTCAAGTAGTGATACTTCCCACATGATAACAGATTGCAGCCAGGATTGAGAACCATTGCTCTAAATTACTCCCTGCTTTGACCTTGTAAGGAGCCCTTGTGGGGCAGTGGTTAAGTGCTCAGCTGCTAATCAAATGATCAGTGATTCAAACCCACCAGCTGATCCATGGAAGAAAGATGAGGCAGCCTGCTTCTGTATGACCCACAAACTTAGAAACCCTATAGACCAGTTTTACTCTGTCCTCAATATCTTCAGCTAAAACCAGGCCAAGAGCTGATTGTGGAACAGACCATCAACTGCTCATATGGAAGTTCAACTTGAAGTTAAAGACAATTAAAACAAGTCCACGAGAGCCAAATTATGATCTAGAATATATTCCTTATGAATTTAGAGACCATCTAAAGAGTAGATTTGATGCACTGAACACCAATGACTGGAATTGTGGGATGACATTAAGAGCACCATCCATGAAAAAAGCAAGAGGTCACTAAAAAGACAACAAAAGAAGAGAAGACCAAAATGGATGACAGAAGAGACTCTG